GAATTCAACAATACATTAAAAGGGTCATACATCATGATCAAGTGGAATTTATTCCAGGGATGCAAGGATGGTTCAACATCAGCAAATCAACCAAAATGATGCACCACATTAACAGAATGAGGGATAAAAATCATATGATCATCTTGGTAGGTGCAGAAAAAACATTTGACAAAATTCAACAACATTCATTTATGACAAAAACTCTCAACAAAGTGAATATAGAAGAAATATACCTCAATAGAATAAAGGCCATATATAACAGATTCACAGCTAACATCATACTTAACAGTAAAAAGTTGAAATCTTTTGCTCTACGATCAGGCACAAGGTAAAGATGCCCACTCCTGCTACTTTTATTCAATTAATATTGGAAGTCCTAGCCACAGCAAATGGTCAAGAAAAATAAATAAGACGCATGCAAATTGGAAAGAAAGTAAAACCATCACTATTAATAGATAACATACTGCATATAGAAAACCTTAAAACTTCCATCCAAAAAGTATTAGAATAAATTCAGTAAATTTGCAGGATACATAATCAATATACAGAAATCTGTTGCATTTGTATACACTAATAACAATCAGAAAAAGTTAAGAAAACAATCCCATTTATAACTGCATCAAAAAAAAAGGAAAGAAAAGAAAATACAATAAATTTAACCAAGGAGGTGAAAAGCCCGGATTCTAAAATATATCAAGACACTGATGAAAGAAATTAAAGACAGCACAAATGGAAAGATAATCCACACTTGTGGATTAGAAAAATTAACATTGTTAAAAATGTCCATACTACCCAAAGCAATCTACAGATTCAATGCAATCCCTATCAAAAAACCAATGGTATTTTTCACAGAACAAATAATCCTAAAATTTGCATGGGACCACAAAGGACCCCAAATAGTCAATGCAATTTTGGGAAAGAAGAACAAAGTTGGAGATACCATACTCCTAGATTTCAAGCTATATTACTAAACTATAGTAGTGAAAATAGTATGGTACTGGCACAAAAACACACATAGTAAATGAAACAGGATAGAAATCCCAGAAATAAACCCACACTTAAATGGTCAATTAATCTTTTTTAAAAAAAGATTTTATGTATTTATTCATGAGAGACAGAGACAGAGAGAGAGAGAGAGAGAGAGAGAGAGAGGCAGAGACACAGGCAGAGAGAGAGGCAGGCTCCATGCAGGGAGCCTGATGTGGGACTCGATCCTGGGACTCCAGGGTCACGCCCTGGGCCGAAGGCAGGTGCTAAACCGCTGAGCCACCCAGGGTTCTCCATGGTCAATTAATCTATGACAGAATATAGACTAAAGAAAAGATACCTTATTTAATAAATGGTGCTGGGAAACCTAGACAGCTACATGAAAAAGAATGAAACTGGATCATTTTATTATATCATATAAAAAACTAAACTCAAAATGGGCTAAAGATTTAAATATGAGACCTGAAAGTATAAAACCCCTAAAAGAAAACATAGGCAGTAAGCTCTTTGACATTGGTCTTTGACATTGACATTGGACATCCATGTTTTTGGATGTCTTCCTCACATAAGGACAAAACCAAAAATAAACAAAAGGGACAACTAAAAACTTGCACAGCAAAGGAAACCATCAGCAACAACAAAAAGGCAATCTACTGAATGGGAGAAGATATTAACATATTATATATCTAATAAGGGGCTAAAATAAAAAATATATGAAGAACTCATAAATTCAATATAAAAATTCGATTTAAAAATGGGCAGAGGACCTGAAGTTCTTTTTCCAAAGATGACTTATAGATGGACAACAGGCACATAAAAAGATGTTCAACATCACCATCAGGGAAATGCAAATCAAAACCACAATGAGTATCACCTGACACCTGTCAGAATAGCTCTTATCACAAAAATAAGAAATAAGCATTGGTGAGGATGTGGAGAAAAGGGAAAAGTTGTGCACTGTTGGTGGGAATGTTAGTTGGTGCAGTCACCATGGAAAACAGTATGAAACTTCCTTTAAAAATTATAAATAGAAATACCGTATGAACCAGCGATTCCACTTCTAGGCATTTATCTGAAGAAAGTGAAAGCATTAATTCAAAAAGACATATGCACCCCTATATTCATCACGTTATTTACAATAACCCCAATATGGAGGCCATCAAGAGGTTCAATGATAGGTAAATGGATAAAGATGTAGTATGTGCATGGAGTTACATATCTCTCTCTATATATATAAATCTATCTAGTGATCTCCATAAATATCTAGCTAGTTAGCTATAAAGAGGTACAATGAAATATTACTCAGCCATAAAAAGGAACAAAATCTTGCCATTTGTGACTTTGATGGACCTAGACAGTATTATACTAAGTAAAATAAGTCATACAAAGACAAATATATGACTTCACTTATATTTGGAATCTAAAATGCAAAATAAATGAACAAATGAAACAGAAACAGGCTCACAGATATAGAGAATGATGGTTGCCGGAGGGACGGGGGGTGGGGATAGGTGAAACAGCCAAAGAAGATTAAGAGGTATAATCTTCCCATTGTAAAATAAATAAGACCCAGGGACATAATGTACAGCACAGAGAATACAGTCAATAATATTGTAACAACACTGTATGATGATATATGGTAACAACTTGTGGTGAGCATTTTGTAATCTATATGAACACTGAATCAGTATGTTGTATGTCTCAAACTAAGATATTGTATATCAATTATTCTTCAATTTTCAAAAATCAATGAAATTTAAAATTGCTTCTTTCAAAAGATCAACAAAATTGACAAAATGCGAAGTAGGCAAGTTAAAGAAAATAACAAAAGCAGGAATGAAGACACTACTGAGGGACGCCTGGGTGGCCTAGTGGTTGGGCATCTGCCTTCAGCTCAGGCCGTGATCCTAGGGTCCTGGGATTGAGTCCCACATCGGGCTCCTTGCGGGGAGCCTGCTTCTCCCTCTGCCTCTCTCTGTATCTCTCATGAATAAGTTAATGAAATCTTAAAAAAAAAAAAAAAAGACACTACTGACCCTACAAAAATTAAAAGTATCATAAGGGAATATTATAAAAATCTAACCTCTCAAATTAGAAGATTTGGTTGAAATGCAAAAAATCCTTAAAGGACACCAATTATCCAAAATTGACACAAGTAGGAAATCTATATAGGACTATATTAAGCAAATTTTGACTGAAAATTGAAGTTTTCCCACAAGAAAATTCTAGGGTCAAGTGCCTTCGCTAAGAAATTCTAGCAAATATTTAAAGAAATATCACTAATTTTTCAAAAACTCTTCTTTCCATCCTTCCAGAAAATAAAGGAGGAAACACTCCCAAATTTTTCTATGAGGTCAAGATTCCTCTGATAGCAAAGTCACACAGAGATAGCACAAGAAATCTATAAAACTTAGCTCTTATCAATATAGATGCAAAATACACTAACAAAGTACCAGAAAATTGACTTGGCAACATACACAAAGGATCATGTGTCATGATCAAGTGGGATTTATCCCAGGAATATTAAGTAATGGATTATGCCATATAAATAGCCCCCCCCCAAAAAAAACCCACCCCACACTCACACAAGTATCTCAATAAATGTTAAAAATGGATAGAGTCTAGAAACAGATCAGCAGAAATACAGTCAACTGATTGTTGAAAGAGAAGCAAAGGCAATTCAGTAGAGAAAGGATAGTCTTTTCACCAAATGGTGCTAGAACTACTAAACATCCTCATGTTTTGTTTTGTTTTGTTTTGTTTTTTAGATGATCCAGGGGCAACTAGGTGGCTCAATCAGTTAAGTGTCTGCCTTCAGCTCAGGTCAAGATTTTGGGGTCCTGGGATTGAGCCCCATGTCAGGCTCCCTGCTTATTGGGGAGTCTGTTTCTCCCTTTCCTTTTGCTCTTCCCTCAGTTTGTGCTTTTCTCTCTCTCAAATGTTTTTTAAAAATGATCTAGATAATTTATACTTGCACAAATATTTTCCCAAAATGGATAATAGACCTAAATGCAAAACACAAAACTACAGAACACCTAGACAATAACACTGAACAAAATACAGGTGACCTTGGATTTGGCCATGTTTTTTTATATACAACACTAAAAACACAATCATTGAGAGAATAACTGGGTGATTTGAACTTGATTAAAATTAAAATTCTGCTCTGCAAAAGATAGTGTTAAAAAATATGAAAATGGTATTCATATATCATTAGGGAATTTCATTTTTTAAATTTATTTATTCATGAGAGACAGAGAGAGAGAGAGAAAGACAGAGGCAGAGGAAGAAGCAGGCTCCATGCAGGGAGCCCAATGTGGGTCTTGATCCCGGGACTCCAGGGTCATGCCCTGGGCAGAAGGCAGGCGCTAAACCACCGAGCCACCCAGGGACCACCAATCATTAAGGAATTTCAAATTAGAGCAACAATGACACACCATTACACACCTATAGGAATGGTCAAATTCCAAAACACTGACACCACCAAATGCTGATGAGGATGTGAAGCAACAGAAACTCTCATTCACTGCTGGTGGGAATGTAAAATGGCACAGGAACTTTGTAAGACAGTTTCTTACCCGGGTGCCTGGGTGGCTCCGTTGGTTAAGCATTTGCCTTCGGCTTAGGTCATGCTCCCAGGATAGTGGGATCAAGCCCTTTGTAGGGTTCCCTGCTCAGCAGGGTCTGCTTCTTCCTCTCCCTCTCCTCTTCCCACTCCCTCACCCTCTGGACCCTGCTTATTTGTGTTCTGTCTCAAATAAATATTTTTTCAAAAAAAGTTTCTTACAAATCTAAATATACTCTTACTATATGATCCAGTAAATCACATTCCTTGTCTCGAACCCAAGAGATAAAAACTTATATCCACACAAAACCTACATGCAAATGTATATTGCAGGTTTATTCATAACTGCCAAACTTGGAAGCAACCAGGATGTTCTTCAGTTGGGGAATAGATCAACTGTGGTGTATCTATATAATGAAATGTTATTAAGTGATAGTTTGCACACAGATCTTCAGAGTAGCTTTATTTTTAACAGCCCCCATGCTGGAAACAACCCAAACATCCACTAATAACTAAATGGATAAAAAACAATTGTGGTATATGCATACAATGAAGTAATACTCAACAATACAAATGAACAACCTATTGATACATGCAACAAGATGAATTAAGTTCAAAATAGTTATGGATAGTGAAAAAGGCCGGAGCCCTCCTCCCCAGAATGTATATATCATATAATTCCATCTATACAAAATTCTAGAAAATGCTTCCTCTTTTTTGTGAATTGTGAGAAAGGGTATTAGAAAGATAGAGATAAAAGGATTATAAAAGGACACAAGGAATCTTTCAGTTGTGTTGAATATGTTCATTATCTTGATTGTGGTGATGGTTTCACAGGTATATACACATGCTGAAACGTAACACATTTCACACTTTAATATGTGCAGTTTATTTCATGTCAATCATATCTCAATGAAGTTTTTGTGAACTAAATGTTCCCCATAAAGTCATTTACCATCCCCCTTAGAAAGTCACATCTGCCAACTATTTTGGTTTTACCACATCCCTCTCTCCACAATTCAGGAGGGTGACCCCTGCCTCAATGTCAGCAAAAACCAGAGCAATGAAATCCATGTCCACTTCAGTCACTAGGAATGCTAGCTGGGTCAGAGAAGCCCTATCATTGGATCTCTCTTTCATCTGTCCTGAGGTTCCTGCCTGTGTAGTGATGGCTACAACATCAACGGCCCAGGGAGGTAGAAAAATTCACAAACCTTAGACACTCCCAGTGGCCTTGGCCACAGAAGATAAAGAGTCTGAAGGTTCTGAGAATTTCTATATTCTCATCCCACAAAAATCATGGACATTTGTAGATGCCTCTGTCAGAGGAGACACTCATCCCCACTCCATTTTCTCAGTGTTTCTGTCCCAATTATGAGCCCCATCTTGCCCTGTAGGCCTTCCAGGCAATGACACCTGCCTATGGGAATCAGGACATCAGGGACTGACTTCTGTGCAGATCCAAGAGACAGAAATCCCTCAAAAGTGCTGGGGAACATGGAACACTCTCTAGGAACAAGAGACCCAATTCATGTTTCCAGAAGCACTGGAGATTCTCACACCAACCATGCTCTCCTCAGAAATGAACTTGGGGCTCACAGGAAACCTAGCCTCCTAGGCCACAGGATGAGGCACACAAAGCTCTTCACTCTTTTCCAGCAAGCCTTGGGCACAAAGAAAATTAGGCCAGCTAGACTGGGATCTGTTCTGTCACTCTGCTAACCCTTCTGAGGCATAGAAAGTTAGTGCAGACAACAGGTGTTCCTCTCTTCATGTTGGAAGAACCCAACTTTTTCTTAATCCATTCCACACAGTGAATAGACAGCCCCCACCCCCTCCACACACACACAAAGTAAAGACTGCCAGAGCAGGCCTGTGTCACCGCACAAATCAGAGCAGCATGGGGCAAGCAGTTCAAAAGATTGGGGATTTAGAAGACAACAAGTGAGTCATGGTTATTATGTTTACAGCTGACACTGTTCGTGAAGAGAAATCTTGTCTGGAAATCCCCAGCAGACTCCAGTTCAGAATCTCTTCGCCAGGGCTGGATAATGTCCACTCAGAATCCAGTCAAGGGAGTTGGAAGTGAGGACCTCACTGGGCTCAGAACACTCAATATTCCATCCAGAGAACAGGAGAGAGAGCACAGGAGTCTGCCTTCCCTGACCATACTAGAGTGGCTGACACACACTGTGGGACCTTGATAGCTGGGAGCAATGAGATGGCTTCCGCCATAGGCACGGGCAGTGATAGAACTCCGTCAAAAGCCCTAGAGAGTTCAGAAAGTGCAATGCACCTCATGGAAGCTTCCCACCTATGTGGTACTAATTGGGAATCTCCCCATAATACATGTATGGATGTACAAGGTTCACCTGCTGGGTGACTTTCACAAAGGGTAATCACAGAGATGTTCTCTGATGTGAGTCCTATCAGGTTGAACAAGGAGATGAACATTTTCTACATTTGTAAGGCCTTTCTCTAGTGAGAACTTCCTGGTGCTAAACAAGTTTAAGAGATGTAACTAAAGGACCACCAAAACTATTGCATTCATGAGGCTTTTCTCCAGTGTGAACTTTCTGGTGGCGAACAAGATGGGAACTTCTACTGTAGGCTTTCCCACATTCACTGCACACATAAGGCTTTTCTCCAGTGTGAACCCGCTGATGTAGAATGAGGCTAGAGTTTCGGCTAAAGAATTTCCCACATTCACTGCATTCATAAGGTCTTGCTCCAGTGTGAACTTTCTTGTGTTGAACAAGGTGGGAGCTACTAATGTAGGCTTTTCCACATTCACTGCACACATAAGGCCTTGCTCCGGTGTGAACCCTCTGGTGTAGAATGAGGCTGGAATTGTGGCTAAAGCATTTTCCACATTCACTGCACTCATAAGGCTTCGCTCCAGTGTGAATCCTCTGGTGTACAATGAGGTTGGAGCTATGGCTAAAAAATTTTCCACATTCACCACACTCATAAGGCCTTTCTCCAGTGTGGATTTTCTGGTGCTGCACAAGTGTGTCTTTACGGCTGAAGGCTTTCCCACACTCACTGCATTCATAAGGCCTTGCTCCAGTGTGAATTATCTGGTGCTGAACAAGTGTGTCTTTGCAGCTGAAAGCTTTCCCACATTTGCTGCACACGTAAGACCTTGCTCCTGTGTGGACTCTCCGATGTTTAATGAGGCTGGAGTTATGGCTAAAAAACTTTCCACATTCAATGCATTCATAAGGCCTTGCCCCAGTGTGAATTCTCCAGTGCTCAATAAGGTGGGAGCTTTGGCTAAAGAATTTTCCACACTCACTACACTCGTAAGGCCTTTCTCCAGTGTGAAATCTCTGGTGCTGCACAAGTGTATCTTTACGGCTGAAGGCTTTTCCACATTCACTGCACTTATAAGGCCTTTCACCAGTGTGAATTCTCTGGTGCTGAACAAGGTGGGAACTTCTGCTGTAGGCTTTTCCACATTCACTGCAGTCGTAAGACCTTTCTCCAGTGTGAACTCTCTGGTGCTGAACAAGTGTGTCTTTGCGGCTGAAGGCTTTTCCGCATTCGCTGCATGTGTAATGTCTTTTTCCAGTGTGAAATTTCTGGTGCATTTTTAAGTGAGACAGGTGAATGAAGGCCTTTCCACACTCTTTACACACATGTGATGTCTCTCCACTGTGAATTTTTCTGTGATTAATGAGAGCTGATTTCTCATTGGACATATTTCCACATGGTGTGCACCTAAAGGGTCTTACTTCAGTACAACTTACCTGGTTGCCAAGGAGAGTGAAGGTATTCAGGAAGGTGTTCCCATTGTCAGTGCAACTGAAAAGCACCAGTCCATCGTGGTCTCCCTGGGGTTGGCCAAGATTAGTGCTGTGTGGGAAAGACTCCGTGAACTCAGTCCTTTTGTATGGAATCATCCCACTGACAGACGACTGGCAATGGAAGAGGCCAGAGTTATCTAGCAAGTCCATCCCTTCCTCCCTGCAAGTAAAGGGTCTCCCTAACATGTGGAATTCACAGCTCTTCACATATGAGGTCCCACCAGCAGCCCCTCTGAAGAGATCCTCTCCACTATACCGCTTTTGGTGTTGGTAAAAGTTTGCACTGAACAAGAATCCTCTCCTACATGGGCCACGTGTGTACAGCTTCTGCAAGGGGTGTGATCCCTGGTGTTTGGCCAAGTGCAAAATATCTTTTACGAGTGGGTCACACACCTCACACAGGTGGGCTTTTGGGATAAATGCACCTGACTTGGAAGTCCTGAGCTGCGACCCTCCTACAGAAACACTCTGCTCAGAAGGTGTCTCCTCATTATCTGCTTCACGCCAACAATCTGAAAGCAAAAAGATGCTGGTGAGGTAAATGTTGACTCTGGTGGACAGCAGCAGCCCAATCTTGTGTGTGAGAAACCCCAAAGAATGAGGGCATTGGCTTGCTGGTGGGACAAGGGAGCCAGGATCAGGATGAGAAAAGGCCCACTGTTGGTCCTGGACCTCTTAAGGTCACAGTAAGGAGAAACAATGAGGAGGCACAATGGTGGTACATGGTAGAGGGCACAGAGAAGTTTCCAGCTTGCTCCTCCATTGAGTAGGGCCTTGGCTGCTGAGCTCTCTACAGAAAAATGTGTCCAGGCCCAGGAAAATCTGACTGTGAATAAGTAGCTGGTTCTTAAGGATTATTTTAGGAAATATGCATGACTCATTGCACATTAAAGTAGCCAGCATTGCAGAGTATTGCAGAGGGAGAAGAGAAAAATGAATGAGATAAAGACGCCAAAGAGGAAGGAAACAGCCAAGGGATGGAAGACAGAAAAGAAGTGACAAATGGACAAAGTACCAAAAATAGGGAAGTAAAGGTAGAAGTGAAGTATCATTACAGGCCCTGGCAAACACTAGTGAACACAAAGTAGGCTAAAAGTATGATCTGAACCCAGCACTAACATGACGATCCTCCAGCTCCCTCTCTGGGCCTCTCTCACTGTGGCTGGATCAGGTCTGCCCTGTCAGATACCCAAGGCTTCCTGCCCCTCTCCAAGTGAGCCACTACATGGGATCTGGAAGATAAAGCTATAAAGAAAACCCTGGGCAGACGAGTGGCCTAGGCAGACCCACCCCACAGAGAAGAAAATGAAATGTTAAAAAACAGAACCCTGAAGGAAGATTTAGCAGAACAGGCCTGAGGGCAGACCTGGGACACTGAGCTGCCGTGGATCTAGACAGTTACCTGGCCACAGAGTGCACAAGCCATGCTGAACCTGCTGAACAGAATGAAAAGGCCCTGAGCCCCTAGCCCATTTCCAGCAAGGCTCTGGGCAGCGAGTGCTGGAACTGCTCAGCAAGGGAGGGGATGCTGCACACAGCCCAGCCCTGGCACCCATAGCACCTCCTCTGGGAGAAGAGTCACTGAGCTAGCTGGACAAAAAGAGCGGCCTCTGGAACACAGGGCAATAACCAAATCAAGGGCCACAGGAGTGAGTGGGAGGGCCTGGGGAAGGCAGCCTCTGAGAAGGCCTGGGAATACCTGACTCCCAGCGTTCTCACCCTTGTGTAAGCCTCTTCCTTTGCCTGTAGGCATGGCCTGGCTTATTTCTAAGGATAATGGGATAATGGATGTCACTTTCAAGGTCAGGTTAGGAAAGGACTGGATTCCATCCTGGACATTCTCTCTCACTCACTTGCTCAGAGAGAAGCAGCATCCATGTTAGGAGGTACATTACAGAAAGGGCAACATGACAAGGAACCAAGGGAGGCCACTGGCCAACAGCCAGAGAGGGACTATTTGTCACAGTTCAACAAGCCACAAGAAACAAAATCTTGCAAACAACCACACAAGTGCATTTGTAAGTGGACTCTTCCTGAGATTGGCATTCAGATGAGAACACAGCCCTGACTAAAACCTCATGAGAGCACATGAGTAAGCTGTGACCAGGTTCCTGATGCACTGAAATTGAAATAATATATATATTCTTTTACTGTTTTAAACTACTGAATTGGGGCGTAATCTGCCATATACCAATAGATAAAACAGAGACTTACCCAGTGAGGCCACCAGTGCAAAGTTCTCCAGCATCACATCACGGTACAGAAGTCTCTGAGCTTCCTCAAGGAGCTCCCACTCTTCCCGGGAGAAGTACACGAACACATCCTCGAAGGTCACATGGTCCTGTCATGATGGCGGACAGCTGAACCCATAGGCAACAGGAATCCCCAGTCTTTTTTTTTTTTTTTTTTTAGATTTTATTTATTTATTTATTCATGACAGACGGGGTTGGGGGGGCAGGCAGAGACACAGGCAGAGGGAGAAGCAGGCTCCATGCAGGGAACCTGATGTGGGACTCAATCTTGGGTCCCCAGGATCACATCCTGGACCAAAGGCAGTGCTAAACCGCTAGGCCACTGAGGCTGCCCAAGAATCCCAGTCTATGCATGCACGCAGCCACCGCTGGTCCCTCTCCTCCCAGCCTCCTAGCTCAGAGGAGACACCAGGACACCACTAGCGCCTGCTCTCTCATGTCTCTCTGAGTGCAGCCCAGAGCCAGGTAGGTGGGCAGATAGATACTATGTAATCTATGGGTCGGCCATGAAGGGCACCAAATGCTCTCCTGCTGTCCTTCACACCATGCTTCCCCGAAGATACAACCTTAAGGCCATGAGATCACACTTCCCCCAACATATATTTTATTCTTTGAACCACCCCTTTTTCCCATTTGGAACTGCCACTACAACTAACAAATTTCTGGTCCATAACATATGCACCTATAGGGCACCCCCACGCCAAAATGCCACTCTGCACATGGTGTCCAAAAAGTGCACATATATCATTGTGACAGGCACCACTGTCACCAGTGCCTAAGCAAGAGACCCAGTTCATAGTCCCAAGTTTCAACTTTCTTGTTATTACTTTTTAAGATTTTATTTATTTATTAAAGAGCAAGAACAAGAGCGATTACAGAGGGAGAGGGAGAAGCAGACTCCCCAACGAGCAGAGAGCCCGACGTGTGGCTCAATCCCAGGGCCCCAAGATCATGACCCGGGCAGAAGGCAGACACTCAACCAATCGAGCCACCCAGGTATCCCTCAACTTTCTTGTTTTTCACTGCATTGCCATCATGACCTGGAGATACTCTCTCCTAAATGTAACCCACAGCTCTACCCCATTTCACATACTGGCCATCACCTTTTGAACTTCTGAAACTAATACCCCTCCCAGAACTAAAAACCTGCACCCACCTTGATGTCTCAACTAAGGAGTCTCTAGACTTCTTAAAACTCAACGTGAGGAAAGCCTAATCCCCAATGTAACTACAGAAAATTACTCTATCAGCTTCCCAACCAGGTAAAGAAAACAAAACAAAACAAAACCCTCTAGGGTCACCCATAACTCATCCGTTTCTCTCATTCACCCTTCACATCAGAAAATCTGGCCACCCTGCTTATAAAACAGATATAAAATCCACCAATGTCTCTCACTTCCACAGCCACTTCTCTGGGCCAGTTACCTACCATCAACACAGACAACTGCAGTAGGTTCCCCACTCATGTCCATGCTCTGTTTTCAACTAGAGAGCAGCTCAAGGGAATCCATTAAATCTTAGTCAGGTCACCTTTCTCTTCTGTTCCAAACCTCCCATGTCTTTCACTACCCTCAAATTGAGGTCCAGCTCCTCAGCCTGCCATTCCGGACTCCTGACCCTGCTCGCAACAGACAAGTAAGATCTGTGGTTCCTTGAGGACTCCCAACACAATCTTACCTGCCAGCATTTGCACAACGCTGTCCCTGGGCCCAATACACCCTTCAATCTTTATCCTATTGGCTATCAGAAGTAGGAAACTCTATTAACTCCTTGCCCGGACTCAATGCTGGGTTAGAAATACCACCTACTTACGGTCCCCAGACTAAAATGCAGATAGAGGAACAAGTAGAGAGTCCCAGAATATCGTATTACTATGTCTCATCAGAAAACCCAGTGGGCCCTACTTTATTTATTTTTAAAGATTTTATTTATTTAGTCATGAGAGATATTGAGAGGCAGACACATAGGCAGAGGGAGAAGCAGACTCCCTGCGGGGATCGTGATGGGGGACTGGATCCCAGAATCCCACCCTGAGCCGAAAGCAGACACTCAACCACTGAGCCTCCCAGGCGTCCCAAGTGGGCCTTATTTTAAAAGCAGATACTGAACTCATACACTATCCTGACCCCCACTGCTACCACTCTGGTCCACCTACCATCAACACTCACCTGGTTTACTGAGGTAAATTCCATTCTGGTCTCCCTACCCGCCGCCATGCCCCCCAATCTTTCCACTCTGCAGCCCCACGGAGTCTGTTAACACCTAAGTCAGATCATCTCCCTTCTTTATTTCAAACCTTCACGACTCCCACAACCATCAGAACATAAGCCCAGCTCTTCAGGCTGCCATTCCAGGCCTGACCCCTGACCACCTGCTCTCTGTTGTCACCAGGTGATGTAACAGGCACCTACTGCTCCTGGAACACGAATTCATTCCCACCTCCAAATATGTCTACTAGCTGGCTCCTGCATCTCGGAAACCCTTGCACACCTCATCCCAGGGATGCTGGAACCCGGAACCTCACCGCAGATGCTTCGGGAGGGACCGCCCTCCGCTGCCCTTACATTCAGGAGAAGGGAACGTTAAAGGCAAAGTGAGGAGGATCCTTGGACATGCCACCCCCTCTATCGGGGTCGGCGAGGGCCTGAGGGACCCTCTGCTCACCTGAGCCCGGTACATCAGCGCCGGGACAGCCATGGGATCCTGTAAGCAGAACCAGGTCGTGAAAGGTAGGCAAACCCGGCGGGTCCTGCGGGCTCAGCGGGAACCAAACCTCCGTGAGGCGGGGAGACCTCGGCCGACCGGCGCGCTCCGAGCCCGTCTCCCCCGCGTGAAAGCGAGCCCAGGCTCAGGGTGCGGCGGCCGGGGACGGACGAGGACGGCGCGGGGTTGCGAAGACCTCGGGAGGGGCGTTGCCCCGGAGGACACCTCCGCGCAAGGTCGCCCTCCCACGACAGGGCTCATGGAGGCCAACAAAAGCGCGTGTTTTACCGTCCTTCCCTGCCCGGTTCCAGAGAGCCGCAAGGGAAGCGTACCACCCCAGGTCCCAACACTCTGCCGCCGGCGCGGAGAGCCCCGGCACAGGCAAAATACGTCACGATTACGACGCCGGAAGTCCCACCTCTGCCGCCAAGGCAGCGGGAGACGCCTTGTTCCGGGCTGTCAATGGCACGACGCCAAGGCAGTGGGCACAGATTTCTGGGTAATGTAGTTGGTGCCCTGCATCGAACTAGGCAATAGGCATCTTTCCGGGTTTTCTTGAAAACAGCAAAGTGGCTCCGGCGGAGGCTGCGGGGAGGAGAAACATGGGAGAAATATGGTCCAGTAGTGCCAAATCTCCTCTTACACTGACACACCCATATTTCTTTGGTCACCTGGGACAAAGCCCATCCTCAGAGGTCTCCAGCACGTGATCCAGTCTTTAATCCTGGGGGAGCTACTTCACCTCTCAGCTTTGAGGACTAAGTTGTTTTTTTGTTTGTAAGATTTTATTTATTTATGAAAGACACACAGAGGCAGAGACATAGGCAGAGGGAGAAGCAGGCTCCCTATGGGGAGCATGATGCGGGACTCAATCCCAGAACCCAGAATAAGGACTTGAGCGGAAGGCAGATGCTTAACCACTGGGCTACCCAGGTGCCCAGGGGACTGAGATTTAAATTGAATGGTGAATATGCCTCGTTGGTGGGGCCTTTGTGTGGTATTGTTATATATTCCTCTAATTCCTTGATTCCCAAATTTAAGCCCCTGACCTGACAGTATCATCATCACCGTAAACTCTCTGACCCAACCTACACTTCCCAACAGATAAAACCTGTGGGCAGGGCCCTAGCTTAAGCTTAAGAGCTGGAACTCTCTTGAAAAGTCATGACAAAAAAAAAAAAAAAAAGTCATGACTGTCTTCCTTCCCCCAAAATTTAATAACTAAAATGGGAAAACAGTACAACCTACTTCATGGGAAATGAAATGATAAATGCTTAACACAGAGCCTAGTGCTAAATATTTACAAGCTGTTATTGTTACTATTCATCATCATTACCAGTTTCTCACATGTACTGCTGTAGGAGGATGTCAGGGACCTCTCTTTGCCGAATCACTAATGATATTTGTTAAAACACAACATATAACCATTGTGACTCAGCAAGTAGCATCATGAGGGTTAGAATTTTTGCATTAAACACATGTGCATACCATTAGGTGCATTTAATTAAAAAAAAAGACATCCTATACAAGAAGGTTTCATAAAGCACAGGTAGGTCTATTGTCCAAGGGACACATCCTTACAGCCCATTGATTCAAAACATAGGACTATCAAGACTAATTGATCTTAGCCTTAAGTGGGTGTGGACTTAATATGGTTTCATATCGTTGACCTTATCAGGTCAACCAAATCAGTTGTTTTGCTAGCAAAAATGGGTTTATTCTAGAATAGCAGAGAATTGCAATTCAGGACAGGTAAGCTATGACAAAAACCATAGACTAGTTTAACAAAGGAAAACAATTGTTCTGTGGAGAAGAAAGAGCAACTTGGGAAGTATTGTTTTGAATGGAAGTCCATTGGAGAAAAGCAAGAGTTCAGGATGATGATGATTTCTCTTTGGTTAAGTTGCTGGGGTGGTCGATTTATTGTAAGAGATGAAATGTACATCTTTTCCTGTCCAGGCTTGTAATTGATGATTCTTCCCTGTTGAAGATTCTTCTCTTGACCTCTGTAATTGGCGATTCTTGACTTCCAGTGGTACTGCGTGAGAGCTCCCCCTTCTGGCTTCCCAATTCTATTATAGTGACATTTTCTTTTACTAATTTTCACATTTCCCCCTTTTGACCAAGATCTTTCCCTGAAAACATCGCTAATCAAGAGTCAGTTTTTCTTAATTCAGTGACCTTTTGTCCCTTGATGTCAGGAAGGACCTTTCCTGGATATCATGTCTCACGTTGGAGGACTCTAGGTCTGAAAATAGCCAACCAAAAAATATTTATCCGCACTAATTCTGACTTGAGGAAGAAAATTTCTCCCTATGGAGCCCATCCTGGAGTTATGTATACCTCCTGGAAGTCCCTGCTTTAAAAGGCCATGAAAGCAGAATAGTGCAAGAACATACTGAAAGAATTAACCAAGTGCATTTGGGAAGAGAGTGCAGGTATAAACATAATGCAACAGCTGATGGACTTTTTGTAAAACAGTCCATCAAAAACTTCAAAACGTTTTTAAACAGTATTGTTATCTCAAAAGAACTGTTTGGAACCAAATGCATTATCAGCAATACAGTCTTAAAGTTTTAAATTCAGAAACCATGAATTTGGCTGAGAATCCAGAGTCAGTTAATAGTCCAGATTAAAAGAAGGAAGGAAGGAAGGAAGGAAGGAAGGAAGGAAGGAAGGAAGGAAGGAAGGAAGGAAGGAAGGAAGGAAGGAAGGGCTGTAAATCTTGAACTTTTTATTATACCTTGTCCAAACATCTTAGGAAACAAGTCTTGTCAGATGTCATCTGCTTCAATCCCAGGAAATCTTTACTTTCAGGCCACCCAGCAGATGGCAGGTCCAGTCAGAGTTTGGTGCTTTCTTTAGATGTGTTACATGAATTTAAAAGGAGTCTATTCCCTGGAGTTTGGCAGCACAAGTGTTGTGGGGCCTTCCTGGTGAGTCTTTCTGGAGTAATCCTTTCCAGTAGATGAAATCTTCAGGTTGCAAAGTGTGATGCTTAGGGTCTCCATCTCCCAGGAGTGCATTGTGAAAATGTTGCTCTACTGAAGCATGGAATTTTTAATAGAAGCAATTGGGCCTTATAATATTTAATTATATCTGTGGGTCAAAGGAAACAGGGGCCAAGATGTCCTATGCTATCTCAAAGGGGGAGAGTCTACGTAGGAGGAATCTGAGATTTAGAAGGATCAATGGCAATATTTTTGGTCAAGGTACGTAGAGGATCATTACACATTTTACCAATAGATTCTTAACAGTGCCATTAATGTGTTCAACTAACCCTGAGGACTGAGGATGGTACACAAAATGATTATAAAATCATCCAAACAGAACAAAACTGTTGAAGCACCTGACTGGTAAAATGGGTTACTCAACCACTATGATGTTTGAGAGGTGTTTCTCAGGTAGGGATAATCTTTTCTAAGAGAGCCACAGAAGAAGTGGCCTGTCTACAAGGGAAAATTTTGGTACAGTGGAGAAAATATACAAACCATCACTAAAATATATTTATATCCATGAGACAGGGAAAGCTGTATGAAATTCATCTGCCAAAAAAATAATAAAATAAATAAATAAATAAATAAATAAATAAATAAATAAATAAATAATAAATTCATATGCCAAACCTTGAATGGTTTATTGGGCAGCTCAAAGTGTCTGGGAGTGATTTGCTCAGGTTTCCTTTCCCTTTGGACAAGCAGGACAAGTGAATTGTTATTTTTTGTGGCTTTATTAATATTTTCTCACCAATATTGGTTCATCAAAACAATCATTTTTGTCAGTAGATGAATGGTTGTACATTAGCAAAAAGTGGGAATTTTAGAATTTCTGGTAGGGCTGTACTGTCATTTTGTCCAAATAATAATTCTCTCTTTTTATCAAATCAGTAATTATTAGTATTCCAATATTTTTTCCTTTTTTGGAGCCAAGTGTTGGGTGTCTCTGGCCAGTTTTTCCAAATTATCATCTGGGAGAACATCCCTTTGGACTGGACAGAGGTTTGGCTATTGAGTCTCCTTGAGAGCACCATTTGGCAGAAGTATGAGTGAGGTGGATTCCTTTTGCCTCCAGGGAGTCAAATGTGGAATGCCCAGGAAGCTTAATAACAGCCAGAGCAGCCGGCCTGTTGATATAAAGTGGCCAAAGGTAAAGGTGCTGCCTCATTGACTTCAAAACAAATTGCAGTGGCATACCCAGCATGATATTTACTATTTTCATCCTTTAAATATGAATCATTTGTAAGCTACAAAAAGTCTGTGGCAGTTAGAAGAGTTTCCTGTAAATTGTTATGAGGAGTCAAAAGAGGTGATCTGTTGAAGTTAAGCAGTGTGAGGGGTTTCATCCATGAAGGAGGGGAGAAGGGTGGCAGGATTAAGGCTATTACAACAAGAGTTACATGAGAGGCAGTTAACAGGAGGATTTCATAGGAGGTAAGGTGACTGACTGAAAGGTGTTGCATATGAAGAGAACTTGGGAGGGCTGCTTCTGCGTGGGATACAGGATGGTTAAGGGGGACTCCATGACTATTTTTGCAGTGGCCTTCACTAAAAGGGTGATGGATGGAATGGCTTTGAGGGAAGGGGGATATCCCCTAGCCACGGGGTCTAATTGTTGGCTATAATACCCTATGGAGTGATGATGGTCCTCAAGTTTTTTGGGTGAGCACTCTAAGGGCATTACCTTCCCTCACACATACAAAGAGGGAAAAGACAAGTTGATAATACGGTTGTCCCCCAAAGACTTTTCTTTAAAGTCCCAAGACCTATGTCACTCTGACCTTTCCAAATAATAGGGTTAAGTTTGGCATTTTTAAAAAGTTGAGCCATAAGAAAGAAGTTTGGAATCCAAATTTGGTAGTAGCCAGCTAGTCCAAGAAAACCTTTTAATTGGAACTTCATTTCAGGTTTAGGGAATTTCAGGATGCCATGAAGCCTACCTGAATCCAAATGTAGTCGTCATTCTGAGATCAGGTGCCCTAGGTATTAAACCTGAGTTTGAGCACATTGCAATTTTTCTTTGGAGACTTTATGTTCCTGTAAGGCCAAAAGTTTTTACAGTTGGAGGCTCTGAAGAGGCTTAAGAAGGAAAGCAAAGAAGAAAATCATCTATGTGTATTGTGACAAAGTAGAGCCTGCAGAAAACTTTATATCACCCAAATCAGCTTTTAAGATTTGTGGAATGTAAGAAGGACTCTGTGAAACCCTGGAATATTGCTGTCCAGGTGGATTGCCATTCTTCCCAAGTGAAGGCAAAAGGCTATCCTTAGCAACTGGAATACTAAAACTGTACTACAAAGGTCAATTACAGTGAAAAATTTGCTTTCAGTGGGATTGGATGTCAATAGTGTATATGGGT